TATCTGCAAGGCAAGGGGCTGGGCTGCTAGGTGGTGAGTGCCCACATGCCCCAGTTCAGGAGCTACAGTCAGGACTGCTGTCTCGCCATACTCTTCCCACCAAAGCTGTGTCAAGAGTCACTGCCACTTAGCATAAACAAAGAGTTGTGGCTTGCTAGTAAAAGTTACCATGACAGCACAGGGTAGGGCCAGTTGATAGAGGCTGGTGCCTAGCCTGGGCTTAGGGCTGTCAGGAGATGGACAATGAGCTCCATAACTAAGGAGAAGGAAGGCTGCTTCAGTTTTGAGTGTCCCCTTGAGCCTCCTCCACCCCTGGGTGAAATACCACGTTCCACCTGCCCCAGTGAAACAGCAGCCTCAGAGACCAGAACTGGCCACGGACTGACCCAGGGCACAGCTTAGACTCAAACCCAGTTTGGCCCCCAGGCTCCCTGTCCTCTCACTTCCTTTGCTGCCTCTTCTGATTTAGAGGCCTCTGCAGGCCCCACCCCACCATGAGCCCCTAGGCCCCATTACAAGCCTCAGGTCCTGCCCCAGTCCCCAGCTAGAGCTCAACCTCCCTAGAGTAAGCACTCAGCACCTCATAGGATCACAGGACCAACAACTCTTCCCTGCCTGAGCTAGGAGCAGAGGCATAGGGAAGAGTTCCGGGACATACCAAACCCCAGTGAGCTCCAGCTTCCCACTGGCACTCTAAGGTGTCATCAGGTCTCTGCCCCAGAGTCAAACATTCTTCCCCCACTTCCCCAACCAGAGAGCTCAGTTCTCCATTTCCTTTCTCAGTCAACCGCAGTGGCAGGAGTCTGTCACAGGACCCAAAAAAGGCTGAGGCCACTTCATCCAACCAAATTCAGGAGCCTTGAGTTTAGGTCCCAGACTGGTAACTTCGAGGAAGCAAGGTGGCTGGAACACAGGCAGCCAGGGTGTCATGGAGCCCAATGTCACAGTGCACCTCCGTGCCTGCTCTGCAGACAGATCCATCCGGTGCCGAAGCTATTGCCTGGCCTTCAGGCATCTACCCTGGTGGTGGAGGGCAGCACAATGCACCCTGCTTTTCAGGATCCCACTCACTCAACACTCCATGAACCAGTACAACCACTACGCAGATTCCTCTAAAAAATAAAAATAAAAATTCCATTTGACCCAGGTATGACTCCTCTTCTGGGTGCTGTCCCAAAGCAATTAAATTCTTATTATGGTGATACATGTACCCTATAGCTAAAGTTACGGAAGTGACTTATGTCCCCAACAGCTGAATGGATAAAAAAATACAATTTTATACATACATATATACACATAAGACAGAGTACTCAGCCACAAAAAAATAAATTGGATTCACTTGCAAAACATGAAAGGATCTTGAGACTTAATGCTATGTAGAATAAATCAGACATACAAATTAAGTATCACATGGTGTCTCTTACATGAGAAAGTTAAAATATAAAGAGCAAAATAAGACACTGTGGAGATGGAAAGAGGAGAGGGGAAACAAAAATGATCAAGATGTAGTATGTATATGTACCAATTCCCCAAGATGCCGGTAATTATAATGCATTGATAATGTGTACCACTAAAATAACTTTTTAAAAAGTTGACCTGACACAGCACTCAGGACTGGCTCCAAAGCCCCTGGTGACACCCAGATCTGTCGCTTCCTCGGGCAACACGGAGCTGGCACAAGCCCATGGCTGCAAATAACAGATCCTCAATGCTTTATGTCCCAAAAAGAGCCAACACAAGGAGGGCCAGACATACATGAGCTGCCTGTGGGTCCCTCAGAAAGTTCGAAGGTGCAGTCCTGCCACTGGGCACCTCCGCAGCTCCACAGGCTATTTCAGGAGGGACTAGAGACAGGACAGGGCACTCATCAGCCTGCCGGCAGGAGGACACTCACCCCAGGTCATCAAGGGAGCCTGGACAGGGCTAAGGCCCTGCAGCGCCAGGAGGTGTAGAAGAACAAGATGAGTTGAGGAGAGGACCCCAGGCAAAGCCAACCTATATTTTGTAGGTCTAAAGGAAACTGGTGATGGCAATGCACTTCCACTGGGATCTGTACAAAGGCCCCTGGCTGCCATGGAGGAGAAAAGGGTCAAGGTGGTGACCCTACTGGTCATCCAGTCTTTCACCTGTGTGGCCGAGTGGCAGAGGAGCTGCAATGGCCCCAATGGCTCCATGAGAAAGGAAACTACAGGAAAGAGGACCTAAGGCATGTAGGTATCCAACCTAAAGAATGAGTTGGAATGGCAGAGAGGGTCAGGTGAAGCTAAAGCCCACCATGTAGACACCTATAGAGGCATAACCCTAACAAGACGAGTATACAGCCTGAGCCACAACATACCATGCCCCAGAAATGGAGAGGACAAGATAGGCTATGCACTTCTCCAAGCCCTGCTGCTCAAAGCCAGGCCTGCCCTGGATGGAGCAGAGTGAAGATTTAAATGGACTGAAAGATTTAACAACTTAATACGACTAGAAACCTACAGGATCCACCTGACTACACGTTAGGACTGACAGGTTTGACCAAGCAGAGTTAAAAGCAAGGATTTCAACTGGACATGATGGTACACACCTATAATTCTAGCACTCTGGAAGGCTGAGGCAGGAGGACTTGCAAGTTCAAGTCCAGTCTGAGCAACTTAACTAACAAGGAAGACCCTGTTTCAAAATTCCAAAGGAGGGCCATGGATTTAGCTCAGAGGTTCAAGTACTTGCTTGGTAAATGCAAGGTCTTCAGTTTGATCCCCAGTATCAAAGGGAAAAAATTAAAAATTCAAAAGGCTGAGATAAGCTCACTGCAAAGGCTCTGGGTTCAATATCCAGTACCACAAAAAGAAAAAGTTCCCTCTACCTCTCAGACACCCCCTCTTTAAGTTTCAAATTCATACCTAATTCCAAACCTCTGCCATACAGTTCCCTTCCCACCTGGCCTCTAGCCACAGGGCTTAGTTCTCTGATGTACATCTCAAACACATTGCAATCACCACTTAACCATGTGCTGGGTATACACCCAAATCATCAGCTCCTGGACAGCAAGCGCTGCTTGCAGAATCTGGGTACATTTTTCCATATTAGAGATCCCAAATCCCACCCCATGAAACTAGGGCTTACACTGAGACATCACAGGTGTAGCAGTGAAGCCAGGCTCCACTGTGACTCTGCAAAAGTCATTTAAACCCCCTAAGGCTTACTTCCTCTTCTGTAAAATGGAGACAGCATCAGCACTTCTTTCAGAGAGGCATGTTGTGAACACAATGAAAACAAACTGCCCAACCTGGAGCCTGGCACAAAGCATGTGCTTCTTACCCGTTCCTCTCCCTGCAAAATAGGATGCAGAGCCCACAGCAGGAATCCTAAAAGTTCCCTATTTTAGGCACTTCCCCAGATAAGAACTCTGTATAAAAAAGAGTGGGTTTGGGAAAGTGAGTGCACCAAGGACTGGAGTCAAAGAGCCAACCCCTTGCCATACTCCCCAGATGGACTAGAGTTTTTGTCAAGAATCCAGGCACAGCTTTGTCCTCCAATAGTCCAAGATGTCAGCACATATGTGCCACCTTCTGCCAGTCACCCTGGCCCCCAGGCAAAGCACCCTCTGCTCTGGCAGCAACCTACCTGGGAGACAAAAACAAGGCAAAGGCCATGACTTTGGGACTCTTGGCCAGAGTGGCTCTGTCTTGTCTGGTCACTTTTCCCCTTGCTCAGCATTTACTCAACAACCAGCAGACAGTGCAGAAAGCACACAGTCCAGTCCTAATCCAGCTCTAAGTTCAGGATTTGCATATGATTACCCGAGGGTCAGGACAGACAGTTCCCTTTTTCCCCTCAAAAAGGGACAGGAATACAGAGCTCACTGAAAGCTATTACTATTGTCTCTTCTTGAGGAAGTACCAGCTTGGCTGACTTTTGCACCTAACTGGAACCACCCAATCTCCATCCCATTACAAATCTCCATCCAATTACAAAGCTCGGTGACACAGGTGGCCTGCCTAAACTAGTTTGCAAGTTTAAAATGCTAAGTGGACAGGTGATACCCATTACTGCTGGGCTGATAAACAGGCTACCACACTGGACTGAGCACAGACACATCACTCAGATATATCACCCAACAAACAAACCTTACATCTGCTGTCTGAGCCATTTCCTTCAAACTCTCAGTGTCTTCCCACATACTAGAGCATTTCTATGTTTACCTATTTTTTTAATCAATGATATTTTTCTCTTGATAAATGGCTGCACTCTTGCCAGGGACCTCTGCCCAAGAAACTGCTTAAATCACAGCCAGCAGGTGACACAGTTGGAGCCTCCACCTTGGGCAGAGTCCCAGTGAAAAAGGAACGCTGAGTGCTTGGAAAGCTACTGGGGATTAGAGATAGCAGTGTCATTAAACCTTCCTGGGATGCTTTACACTGTTCACAGGACTTGCAAAGTGCTTCCCAAGGACTGTACTTTCATTACGTTCACAGGTAAAGAATTCATAGGCTTTCCATTAGCTTAAAACAATACGCCTCATAAAAGCAATCTGGCATGCTGTACATAAAGAGCACCGGTTAACTTTTACAGCTCTCTTCTAGGGGCCTCTCAGACAGCAAGTCTGACCTCCTGTGGCAGCTGGGGAGCTGGGCGTGACCCCACACTGCTGTTAAGCAATCAAGGAGCAAGAATTAGTCGCAGTTCACTAAGGCTCCGGAGCCAGAGGCTCAAAACATCTCATCAAACCCAGGCCTATTACTTAAAAGAAAAAAATGCAGTGTCCAGCCCCAACACGGCGAGAGATTAGGTACTTTAGAGTAAGCAGACAAGGGAAACTGCGGCGCTCCGGGCCTCCCTGAGGGCTCAACCTCCATGGGGACCCCATTTGCTCAATAGGCACAGCACGGCGCTGGGTCCCAACCTGGGTCACCTTAGGGAATGGAGGGGTGACTTCGGAGCAGGTCCCAGGTGGGTCCCCAGGGGCAGAATCTTTGCCCCACCCACATCCTGCCAAAGATCGGGAGGCGACTCACCTGAGCGAAGTACAGGTTCATGAGCGTGAGCGTGAAGAACTGAAGGCACACGGGGAAGCAGTAGAGCAGCCAGAAGAGGAAGGGGCCCAGCGAGTTGGCCGCCACGAAGTCCCTGAAGTAGAAGGAGAAGAGCACAGTGCGCAGCGAGGCCCAGAAGAGGCAGAGGAAGAGGAAGACGCTCTGGTAGCTGAGCCGCTTGTGCCGGTAGCGCAGCACCAGCCAGAGCTGCGCGTAGATGAAGGCGAAAAGCAACGCATAAAACACAGTGTAGACCACCGTGAGCCCGAGCTTCACGTGCGGGGGCACGGCGGGGGTCAGCGTGGGCGGCAGCGAGTCGTTGCGCGCCGCGTCCCACCGCGACGACTCCATCCGGCCGGGGGCGCCCGCGCCTCATCGGGGCTCGCAGCCGCCGCCCCCACGGGGATCTCGGGGCATCGAGCCCTGCCAGTGGCCCAACACCGAGCGCAAAAAACAAGCCGCACTTCCTCCGCTGCACCACATGATCCTCGGGGCGGCCTTTGTCTGAGATTGGCAGCGCCGCGCCCCCGGACCGCGCGCCCGCGCACGGCGCAGCCCGCCCAGGCCCCGCCCAGACCCGGGACTCCCGCCCCGCCCCGACACGCGCGCCCCCGACACGCCCTGACCCGCCCCCCAGCCCGCGCCCCCGCCCCTAGGGTCCCGCCCCAGTCCTCTCGCGCGCTCATTCAGTTGGAGACCACTTCTTTTGCAGCAGTTCGTTCTTTTTTGTGTAAAAGCCAAGTGCTTTGCAGGTTCCTTTTTTCCCCCTTTTAAAAATAAAACTTTACGACTCTAGCTGTGAACTAGCCAGGGTCTCTGGAGTGAGGTTTATTTCTAAATTCACAAACGCCAAAGACCGGATCTGTATTTCTGAGACCATTTGTAACCTCATGGGAGAAATGGGAGATGGTGCCGCCAGGCGGCTGCCCCCGCCCAGGCGGGAGCTGGCCCTGGGGACCCTCAGGGTGCGCTCTCCAAGCAGTCTACCGCGGGTCCTGTCTCCCTGGCCCAGCAGGCCCAACATCTTGTTCTGCCATTGTGACCTAGCAATCCCTTCGGGGACAAGAAGCTGCCTCAGTTTACCCTGGGTGCCACATTAACATCAGGCCAGGAGCACAGGGAGCTGGAAAGGGTTCTGGGCAGAGAGGGCAAGACAGGCTGCAGGGTGGAACTAGGTGAGCAATTCAGATGGACCCGAGGGACCCGAATTTCCAAGGTGCCAGTCATTCACTGTGATTTCTTCCCTCCTCTTAACGTTCAACTTGATGCTTATTTGTGCAGAACTGGGTGGCTTTTTCCTAAAGAGGACCCAGCGGAACTAGGATATGGCTTTTCCTCAAAATTACTTATTGTTTACAAGCTTCCTACTGAGCTTCTACTTCTTTACTTCTCTCTGAAGAGAAGCTACGGAGTTGGTCTCCTCACCTCTGGCCTTGTTCCCCTCAAGCTGTTCTGAGCAGAGCGGTCTGGATAACCTTTTGACAGAAACTGCCAGGCATACTACAGTGATACCTGCATAGCCATGTTTTGCAGCACAATTCACAATAGCCAAGCTGTGGAAACGACCTACATGCCCATAAACAGATGAATGGATATAACAAAAATCTGGTGGAATATTATTCAACCATAAATAATGAAATCATATCATTTGAAGGAGAATGAATGGAATTGGAGCACATCATGTTGAGATAAGCCAGACTCAGAAAGTCAAACATTTCCTGTTTTCTCCCTATATGTGGAATCTAACAGTAAAAGTAATGACATGAAGTAGAAAAAAGACAGAGTGTGAGATCAAGGGCCAGGAGAGAAAAAGGGGAAAAGCAGAGAGTGATCAATGTACAATATGTGTATTCTTGAATATGCCAAAACAAAATCCTCCTATTCGGCCTATCTAGTATGCACTAATAAAAAAATTAAAAACGAATACACCTGCCAGCATGACTTCCCCTGCCATGCTGAAACTCCCCTTCTCTGCTCTTCACTGTTCTGTTGGCCAAACTTCCCCAGCTGATCTCCTGAGTCATATCCTAAATGCGAGCAGTGCGACCCTTGTTTACAGGCAAAGACCTTCACACTTCCTCCACCAACTGGCCCAGTTCTGCTCATCTGCAGAGGTGTCACTTCCTCCAGACCATCTTCACAGGCCGCACCGCCCATGCACCTATCACTCCCTGGGATTAATGCTCCATCTGTGTGCTTCCTTACCTCACTGCCTGATTGCTAGGCACCTTGACTTGTTTGCAAGTTTCCTAGGGAGACAAACCAGGCCTTGTTTGCCAGTGTCTCCCTTGCTACAAGGAGAAAGCTTCTGTCTACATTTTATTACACTATAAGAATAGAGTTTGTCATCAGAGGTTCAAGCTCTAAAATTTCTCCTGCATTGTGCCTGAGCCCTATTCACAAGACCATCTCACTATCCAGGATAGCTTTCCAGCCATTGCATCCACATTAGGCTGATATTAGGGAAAACAGACAAGAACTAACTGGCATTTGTCCTCTGTTGTTCCCGGAACCATCCCAGAACTAACACACAGGCTCCACTTGCAGCTCACTGGTAGAAACTTAATTACCTTAGTGAGCTAGCTATAAGAGAAATTGGAAAATGTCATTTTTATTCAGCATAGTGTTACGCACAGCTAAAATTCACAGTTCTGTTATTACAGATGAAGAGAGGGATGGATTTGGGGAGGAACTCTCAATCTTTACCACACCATCAAAATAGACAGAAAAAAATGCCAAATGTTTACAGTACACCAGCTCTTTGACTACCCAGGGCCCAGTGTACTTCCTACCATCCTTATAATTCTAAAAATAAAGATGATGGATACTTAATGTAAAAGTGTGCATCCATAATAAGAAAAACGCACACACTTAATATAATGTAGTACTCCTTGACAACAGAAAAACACATTTCTTCCTTCCCCTAAAAGAATTGTGACTTTCTATGTCCAGCTCTGAGCCCAGGAGCGCTAAGTAGTAATCCTTCCTCCTTTAATTCTGTTGCAACCCCATCTCAATATTCTGTAACTCACAGACTGAAGTTGGTCCTATATAAAATATAAAGTGGTAGAGAAAAAGGAACAGACGGGGAGGGGTGCTACTTTGAAATAGATATAAATATATGTAGACCACAGCAAAGAGAAAAACAGAAGTTAGAGTTCCCATTTGGGGCCGAGCATAAAGCTATAGTTGGGATTTATGACTCTTGGCCTTACAGACCATTGCATAATCTCCCTTTCCCTTTGTCAGGCATCTCAACTGCCCAGAGGAATTTGAAGTTTATTGTCTGCCACTGGACCTGCTGGTAGCAACAGGCATCTCCATGGCTGAATTGCACTCACCTACCTCACTTCCGTGATTCTCCTTATTGTCATAATTATCACTGTCTCAGAACCAGCCCTTTTGCAACCACTCTCTGGGATGAAGACTCTGAAATACCCACAGTCTCAGTTTCCATTTCGATAAAACTCTGCTTCACTCCTTGCTGTGGCTGAATTTCTCTTTGGTAACCAGCACTTTCAAATGAGTGGAACCTAGAGAGGAAGAAACAGACACAAAAATTTGCAAATAGATCAGTGGGTGGGTTCTTGAGAGATGAGTAGATTCTCTTTGCTCCTATAGCCAGCCATGTGTCCTGACTGCAAGTTGGTAGTACCCTACATTGATTTTGGATTCAGAGATTTTTGTAGGGTAGGGACTTTCCTTTGCTGGGTATTGTCTCCCACTGGTCATTCCACCATTCTAGAAAAGTCAGCTGCTACTGAAGGACAGAAATGAGCCCATAACATTTCTTCTTTTGGTATAAAATGAAGTCCCTGGGCAGATGCAATACCGTGGGTTACTATAATGATAAAGCATACAGAAAATCTAAGGATGGCAGTGAAGGCATTGATGGGCCAGGCAAGTACACCCAAGTTCCAAAGCATTGTCCATTACAGTGAGGACGAGTGACTGATGTCCTCCTCAGGCAAAGAGGTCTATATAATCTACTTCCATGTGGACGCTTGGGACAACTCCAAGTCTTGGTAACTTCTGAAAGATTGAGAGTTGACTGGTGACGTCAGTCTCGGGAGTGGAAAGTCCATGTTGTTAAGACCACAGAACTGTTCTGTCTTTACCTCCACAGTTGCCAAGTCTGCAAGCCCATTGTATAATCAATGGGCTAGGTAGGGAGAGAAGATGACTTAAATTGTTGGGCAGGTCACCTTTTCCTGCTGAAAGTTGAGTCCCTAGTGTAACTGGATCATTTAATAACATGAGTTGATGGGTTGATGGATCAAAATAACATGCATCTCAAGAGGGCAACTCAGACTGCCTGGTGACCCAAGATGCATTCAGCATCTTCTGTCTCTGTCTCTGTCTCTGTCTCTGTCTCTGTCTCTGTCTCTCTCTCCCCCACTCTGTTTGCAGTATATAGTTTGGGTTTCTCCTGTAGGAGAAACCATGCTGTTGCAAATATTTTTGAGCTTGTGTGCCCGACTTCTTTTGCTTAACATTATGGTCTTTCAGCACATCCGTTTACCTACAGATGGCTCAAGCTTATCCTTTTTATGGCAGAATAGTACTCCATTGTGCATAAATAACGTATTTTCTTTATTCATTTGTCAATGAGCATATAGGCTATTTCTAAGGTTTACCTATTACATATTGTGCTGCTATAAACAATGGCATATAGGTCTCACTGTAATATGATGCCTTTAACTCTTTCAGGAAGATACCTAGGAGGAGAATAGCTGGATTGAATGGAATTTCTATTTTTAGTTTTTCGAGGAATCTCCATCCTGGTTTCCATAGTAGTTGTACTAGCTTATATTCCCAGCAACAATGTAGAAGGGTTCCTTCCCTGCTCCTCCTCAGCTTTGTCAGCATTTGTTATTATTTGACTTCTTGATGATAAACATTCTTTCTGGAGGAAGATGGCATCTCAATATTGTTTCAATGTGTAGCCCTCTACAGTCAGTTCTAACATTTTTTCATGTATTTATTGGCTACCTGTACATCTTCTTCTGAGAAGTTTCTATTCATTTCATTTGGCCATTTTTTGATTGAACTTTTTATTTTTATCCAGTTCTTTTATATTCTAGATGTCAACCCTCCATCCAAGGAATAGCTGGCAAAATATTTTCCCATTCTGTAGGCTTATCTCTTCACTTTCTTGGTGTTTTTTCTTTGGTGCACAGAGCTTTTTAATTTAGTGTGATCTCGTTTATTGATTCTCAGTATTATTTCTTACGCCATTAGGGTTCTTTTCAGAAAGTCCCTCCTTATGCCTATGTCTTTAAGAGTTGTACCTATTCTATCTCCCAGCAGATTCAGTGCTCCTGTTTTAACACTTAGCTCTTTTATCTGTTTTGATTTTAGTTTAGTACATGGTGAGATACGTGGGTCTGGACTCAGTCTTCTACATGTGAGTGTCCAGCTTTCCCAGCATCATTTATCTCAATTTTTTTTGTACCGGGAATCGAACTCATGACTGCGAGCTTGCAAGGCAGGCGTTTATGCTGCTGAGCTAAATCCC